GTTTTGCCATTGCCTTCTTCTGTGTGTGAATGGAGTAATTGTTGGGATGCCACGGAGGAAAACTCCGTGTTGCCTAGACCACGGCCTTGCCCAACACAAGTTATAAATTCGGGCACCGCCGGGAATCGAACCCGAGACCCCCAGGATTACAAGGCCAGCGTTCTAACCGCTAGACCACCGTGATTATCCCAAAAGAATACGGAAATAATAACAGGGTTTGTTTGGAGAAGGGACACGGAGGGGGGGGGGGGAGAATACGTTGAAACAAGTCATCCTGTTTCAAAAATATAAAAGAACTTAACAGGACTATCCTGTAAAAACTGATCAACGCGCAGTGACACAGGATCTTTTGTGGATACCACTGAACAAAAGAACGTTGTACGGATCGCTGTTTGAAATCTGACGCCATGTGAACAGAAGAACCACCAGGTATGACGTTTTGAAAACTGACCGACGCACAATTGAACAAGCTCACAGGAAACCACAGGAATGTTGAAGACACGGTTTCATGTTCTTTGAAGTGCGATGCCAAACCGACGCAAAATCGACACTGACAATGCGAGTGGAAGAGCCCACAGATTTTTCACAATGTTCACTAATTCCAATGAAACGCGGAGTTTATGCTTTCATGGCTCGTAATCATACCTGCCGATTCGCATTCACAAACGCGTGCCCTGTAATAAAACTTAACGTAAGTACGCCATAAAGCAGACTCGTGCAAATTACGTACAGCGTGTCCCGTAAATCCTCAGCTTTAGGAAATCTCTGAAATTTTGTAAAATACGGGAAAATACGAAGAGTTAACAGTTTTTGAAAACTACGAGTTTCAAATCACAACTATCGGAGTTTTATCTCGAACGAGCCTTTAGGGCGATAGACTTTTTACATCATCGATATCAAAATATCGCGGCGATGTTGTCACGTTGAAATGGCACCTAGGGGGAAGATGTGTTTCTCCTGTGGGACTTTTCTCTTTCATGATTGTTTCTCCATGTTCTGGAAACACATCTGGATGTCTGTCTCCAATAGACAAATGCAGAATTCCGAAAAACTTCAACGCACTTCATAAAAACTTATTTTTATATGGAATAATTATTTTTTTTCGATATTTTTCACTACAAATCAACCGCAATTTGCATGTGGTACTAGAATATTAACGAAGGACAAAAGTTAATAAAAATTGGAATAAGTAGCGATGTGACATTTAAAACACTGCACATTCATTTGTCTCTACAAGAGGGCGAATAATCTGTCAGAATGTATCTTACGAGTGAGAAACAAATCTGATCATCTATCGGGCTAAGTCCCACATACATTTCCAGATGTCACGATTAACGAATCGAGGTCGATCCTTTTAGATTACACTGACATCAAACAAATTGTTCGCCATTCTTCCCGAGACCAGGGCCAATTATTTTGACTCCTCCTTCATTACAGCAACATCCCTTTACTGATCTAGCCCTTAGACACAATTCTAAAACATCTACGCGTTTACAAGAGAAACATTGAAAACGTTAATTTTTACATTAGTAGACGGAATTTTGAATTTTGTAATAGAGAAGGCTGAGGCTATTAATTTGGAAATTTAGTACATAATTTAGAAGTTCCTACTGGGAGGGGGAGGGGGTAAATTTTGATTAATTTAAATCGGGAGGGCTGCATGAGAAGCTTGCAGTGGCAACTTGGATGTTAAGGATAAAATAAGAGTGAAGGCGTTAGTGTGATGATTGGCATAAAAGACGGAATTTTGAAATTTTGTATTAGCGAAAGCTGAGACTATTAATTTGGAAGTTTAATACATAATTTAGAATTTGAAGCCACAGCTCGTCTAAATAATATTTAAGAATTCAGTCCGTACCGCAAAGTAAACACAACACTTCAACATTACAAAGACCAACTGGTTAACGCCGTTTAAGGAAAACATGACCCGCCTGTAAATATGAAAAGAATACGAATTTAGGAAGAACTTCTATAACTTTTAAAATTTACCTCAAATGCCAGGTGGGGTAACGACTTCTCATAAATGAGGTTTGTCGTAATTCCGTCTAAAGAAAAAAAAAAATTCTACTAATTGGACGAAGGCAAAATTGTTTTATCGTCCCTCCTTAGACACAACGTCTGCTGTCAATGTTACATCATTAGTGTGACAGTTATATAATTTTCTGAACTCGCATGTGTCAATTTCGTAGTGCCATATTTATTCCACCTCTCTCGCTCATTAATATTTAAGTGACACTTCCAACTACAGTTACCGATAATGACGTCACGTCATTCCTCGTGTACTAGGATCTGAGTACAAATCAGTGGTGTTAATGCTACTCCACTGACATTCTAGGACGGAAATGCAGTGTTACTTCATTTTGTATCAGTACGACTGGCGTTTATTCAGACACAATTCAGAAATTCGTTATCACGTTGCGGGGAAAAGCTTCCTAACGACGTTACAGCCACACTGTACTATTTTACGGTTATACAAAATATCGTAAAATATGTATTATATCGTAGTGCACCCGCCACATCTCACTAATATAGCCCCCGCCCTCCCAAACACTTAAATAATCTTACCACTGCGATTATTTCATCTCGTTAATAATAACATTACAGGGTTCTCATAAAAGATCCTGATGTTTAAAATTTAAATACTGATTAAATATCCTACTATCCAAATAATGACTTGCAAATATAAATTGCATTTTTGTACCCATGGAGAATACTTTTCGGATACCAGACATAAAAGGAGAGTGTGCGACCGGTTTCACAAGTATTCAAATCTATTCTAATCTCTATTCATCCTGTTACAAAGAATACGGGAACAGATGAGAAATTAAGTGGTGGTGTTATCCCGAAGGAGATCAATCACTTTCCTTACATTTTAGTCTTTCTTTCACGTGGGATACGGACAGCTCGAGCGACAAAGCCATTAGGGAAATTCGGCTTCATTTGCGTTAGTGTTCTTGGCAGTTTCTAGTCTCCCTATAACAAGGCTAATTACATACTCCACAGTTTGCAAGACTAAGAATGCTGAAGAACATGGCGATGCCAACTTCAACTATTTCAAAGGATTAAAACCTTCTTTAAAAACTGACAGTATCTAACATAACCAATAAGAATTCCATCTATTATTAAACCAGTGTTCACAAGAGCCCGACACTTATTTCTATTCGCAACCGTATGTCCTCTCTTTTCAGATTCATTTTAATATTATATCCACACCCAAGCTTTGTCATAGTATTTGTTTCTACCCATCAGGATTTTCGACTTAAACCGTGATATATTTCTCATCTGTTCTCAATTGCGTGCTACATGTCCGATTGTCTCATTATAAAATTCGGTGAAGAATAGAACATAATGGAATTTATAATCATTGGTTTATAAACTTAAATTTTGCCTACAAGACGGGGAAAAAGAAAATAACTAAATGTTGGCAAACATTTCCAAAATTTAACTAACTTCACAGGAACAAATCAAACTATTTTTCTGTGCAAGATTCGAAGTTATCAGGGCTGTGAAGATGTCAATGTCTGTCTTCTGGATAGTAACGTCGCGCGAACTTGTTAGCAGATGTTAACGTTTCGGAGAAACATACTATGTCCATCTTCAGGGCTCAATACGTATTTTTTTCTAAAACGATGGTTATCTACCTGTAAATTCACACGGCGTTACTATCCACCGAATATGATTTCGAACATAAAATAAATGAACACCTGCCATTGTACGCTAAATTTTACTATAACACGTCAGGAGAAATATTTTCTTGGCCTGGAGAGACGATTTACGACACGTGATGATCACGACTATTCACGCGAAACTTGTAAGTGCATCTGTACCCAATGAGCAGCTGTAGGTTACGTTTATCTTGTCCTACATCTTTCTTGCCTTATTTCTTTGAAGCCGAAGGGAGAGATCTATAACATTTAAGAATTCAGTCCGTACCGCGAAGAAAACACTACACTTCACCATTACAAAGATCAACTAGCTAACGCTGTTTAAGGAAATAATGTAGAAAAATCAGGTATTTTACTACTATAAAGAAAAACATCACATCAAGGACGCTTTTCTCAAATTTCACACGATGTATAATACATCGCACTGTCATTGAATAAAGTTAACATATAAAACAAACTTTTCATGGCATCGCATTTCATGCGAAATTAAAATTTTTTGACTGGTTTCGTCACGTACAAAGAAATCAAAACACAAGGACTTACGAAATTTTCCTAGAACCCCAATTAAAAACTACACCAACAAATAAAACGGAAACAGAAATCTGTTCAGTTGAACTGTCACTAGAGCAGAGTCAACGTCACTCACCACAAGAAGCGGTGGCAGACCGGCGCCCTCCGTCCAGCGGCGTCTCCGAAGGAACAGCGTCTCTCCAGGCGTCGCTCACTACTTTTACCCATAATGGCGTGCGCAGACGGCAAGCGTCTACCCTCTCAGACCTGCGCCGTGTAGTGCAGTAGTATTGTAGTATGAAGAGTGACCACAGAGTGGCGTGACCGAGAACTGGCAACACCTCAGGGGTGACCAATATCCGAACCATTGTCCTTCGTATCCTTTACACAACAAATTAAACCGGCTTGGTTATTAATTTGAAGAAGAGAATTTTAAAAATGAAATAAAAATGTTTTTGTAAAACTAATTAAAGACGTGTGAAAAAAGGAATGTGAGGTATAATACAATTAAATTGAGAAATATATCAAACTCTGACTTCAGGCTTTTGTCTCGTTACAAACTTCAGTCATTTGTTATAAGATAAGACTAAACAAGTTTAAGATAACAGAACGTAACGAAGAATGTTGGGAGGAGAGTTGTAAGCAAGGAAGACAGACAGAAAAGAGAATAAAGGAACTTGCATAAGAGGCACTTCATGATAAACATACTTTTGTAAAATAAGACAGTGTAATTACGTCATATTGTGAATATTATAACAATTATTTATTTTAATCCGTCTGATCACAATATTTAAAATTTCTTATAATTAAGATACTAAAATATCATTCATGTTCCATATCGATTGATCGATTTACATTTCGGAACATTTACACAACATGTTTCGGTTTTTATAAAACCATCATCAGGTGTAAAATATATCTAAGAACTTTGTAAAATATTTAGTTGATTTAATTAAAGAGTTACACAAGTGTCTTACGCACAGAAACAACAAATTTTGGCTTAAAACACTGACGACGATAAAACAATTTCAAAACTGAAACGTAAGTTTGAGAATAGACGATACTATTACAATTAATAATACATAATCTACAAATGGGGTGTGTATATTAAAATTCTGACGAACACGAAATATATATAATGGCAGTAATGTGCCGACGGTGTTAAATCTAAGTCCACGAAATTGTTTCAACACGAAGCTAAGACATTTCACTGACATTCTTGAAATAAGTCTGCATTTTACAATTTTAACTCTTTAAACTGCGGTGGTAATAATAATAATAATAATCAGTAACGCTTTATTTTGTCCATAGAAAGTAGAAATGTTATTTGGTATGATTTTGAAAATAAACTGCGATTTTTAAAAATTCTTTAAACAGCGTTAATAAGTTAATACTTGTAATGGTAAAGTGTGGTGTTTTCTTTGCGGTGCGGGCTGAATTCTTAAACAACATGCAAGCCAGCTTTGCCTTAAAAGGGATAAAAACAGACCAAGACGCTGCTATAGAAATAATAATAACATTCTGTGTTCCCTCCTTTTATTATCGCAAAATTTATGTCTTTTGTAACTGAATCAATGTACAAGGGAATTATGGTAATATATTTAATTTTTTCTGAACATTGTTTTAGAATTAACGTCGCTAACTTTGCGGAAGATACATACTCGTATTTTATAAAATGTATACAAGATACAAAATTATATTTCTACCAAAGGAAATGAAGACCCTGGAGATAGGGCACTTCATGCTGAAGATACCACAAAGTTTAAAGAGTAAGACGGTGGGGGAATTTCTTGGAATTGCATTTTACTGTGGACAGGGCAGAGGGACGAAGATTCAAATGTAAATAAGCCAGCAACACAAAGAACTCTGCAATCAGAGAGCGTATAGTCGTAGGAAGAAACTTGGATGGCAAGTAATGTGTGTGGCAGGAGATTGTGTGACGGGGGCAAAGACGAAATGGCGAGATTTTCCTGGCATTAAGTGGAAACAGCTTCATAATTTGAATAACGAGATGCGATAAGAGTCAGTGCCTGAGGAGACGAAGTCAGGAAGAAGAAGTTTAAATTAAGCAGAGTAAGAAACCTGCTCATTTCTTCGGAAAGACCTGAAGGCAATGGAGTGTGGCATTTATATATTCTACGAATTTCTTAAGCTGATGTTTATGATTAACTACCATTAGCAGTTGTTTCTGTCTATAAATCAAAAGTACCTTACACTATCACGAAAAGGATCGACATCTTGAATCTTGTAATTTCCCTTTGTACCAAAGAAACAAATGTCATTTTCTAGGAGTATCAAAAAAACTTCTCTATAACTCTTTTATTTTTCGAGCTGGACAATTCAACTCAGAGGCAGCTGTTCGCTTCTGAGTACGTATTATAATCTCTACTATAACTTTCAGTACTGCAAGACTAAACAATGATCCACTGTCATAACACGAAGACATTCCACGCGGTTGCCTTAAATTCCACGACTAAATACAGTCATTTATGTTACGTAATTTTCAGATATGGAACCTTGTAATCAGGGCTGTGGAGTCGTTACTAATATCTCCGACTCCTTCATAAAAGCTCAATATGTATTAAAAAGATACTTAAATGGTAAATGGCACCATAAGAGATTTCATCACCACCACGTGAATCATCAGCCTACTTTTTAGACTTATAACCTATATTTAAATACACGTCTAATCGGTTGATTTGTAGACAGTTTGTATTCTTAAGGTACCGGAGCCAAAGTTACAAAGCATTATTCCCACACCATGTGGCTCAACGCGTCGTTGAATCTCCCTAAGAGTGAGGCCGATGGCGTCTCACACGGTATAGAAATTATTCTTAAGATTCTATATCGAGGTCGGAGGCGGTACATTTTTACAGACTCCGACTCCACATAAGATTGCTTCCGACTCCGACTACACAGCCCTGCTTGTAAGACTTCAGAATGTGGAGACATGAGACAACTTCGCACGACTCCATCTTTTGAAATTCTCCGACTATTGCAAGTCACAAATACTTGTCCTCTTGGTAAATAACATACACCTCTCTGGGGGATAAATTCCTGCCATTGTCAGACATAATCAAAACTCAGTTTGTATTCCACCATATTAAATAGCATAATGCTTCTAATCCCTTTCGAATGAAAAATATTTATGGACTACTTCTAAGCAAATTTGATTACGCCTTAAGCATATCGTCAGGTCTACACGCCGATTATCGGTGACGGAGAAGTTGCCGCATCAGCACGGCGCACTACGTGAAACTGCGTAATGAGTTTTCTGGTTTCATAAAAATGTGGGAAATTGCTGACTAGCTGAGTGACTATCAGCTTCTAGAAACGGGCTCAGATTAATAAAGTTAGTTATAGCATTTTACTCGAACACTGTAACACACTATTTTAACAAGTTAATTTCTCTTTCATACTTTAAGTCATAAATATATTTTAACCCTTTAAAGTCCAATGGTAACTATATTTACCGTCTGTTTTAATAATCAGTAATCGTGCATTTTTATTTATGGGTCTCCAGTTATTTTCAGTATAAACATCGATTATTTCATTACGCAAGTAATAAATCTTTGTAATGGTGAAACGTTGTGTTTTCTTTGCGGTACGGACTGAATTCTTAAATTAGTATTTAGACGAGATTCATCTTCGAGGGGGCTGACTTGGTTTAACCCATTCATCGACATTCCAACTTTTTATTCTACTTAACGAGCCATTCAGTTACTACAGCCGAGATTAACCATTCAGTCAATGTGGGAGTGACTTAATGAAGGAAATTGCCGGAGTTTGTGCTACGTCGTGAGCTGTACAGACACTGAAGGGCATTAAAACAGAAGCAAGAAGTTTGTTGCAGAAAAAGAAATCGATGTGATAGAATACCCAAGCAATTCATTTAGCAAAGAGGCCTGCTCTTGACATAACTTTTGATCAGCTAGAAGGGGGGAACTGCACCTAGCTGGATGGACCACACGCACAAGGAAGATGAGCTTAAAGCGACTTTGGCTGCAGTAAACTTTAACAGTTGTGTAGCTAATAAATCCTTTGAAAGGGTTACAAAGTTCAAATATTTGGGAACAACAATAACAAATCAAAATGATACTTGTGAGGAAGTTAGGAGGAGACTAAATTCCGGAAATGCTTGCTACTTCTCAGTCCAAAATATTTTGTCTTCCCGTCTGATTTCTAAGAACCTGAAAATTAAAGTATACAAAACAATAATCTTGCCTGTTGTTTTGTATGGGTGCGAAACATGGTCTCTCACTCAGAGGGAGGAACACAGATTGCAGGTGTTTGAGAATCGGGTGTTGAGGAGGATATTTGGGCCTAGGAGGGAAGACGATGGGGCGTGGAGAAAACTGCACAATGACGAGCTTAAAAATCTGTACTGCTCCCCCAGTATTGTGAGGGTGATTAAGTCGAGAAGGGTGAGATGGGCGGGACATGTAGCGCGCATGGATGGGACAAGAGGTGTGCACCGGGTACTGGTTGGGAAACCTGAAGGGAAGAGACCGCTGGGGAGACCTAGACGTAGATGGGAGGATAATCTCAGGCGGGATCTATGGGAGATAGGAGTTGAAGGAAACTGGATTTTGTTGGCCCAGGACAGGGTCCGGTGGAGGGCTTTGGTTAATTCGGTGATGAACCTTCGGGTTCGGTAAGCCATCTAGTTAGTTAGTTAGTTAGTTTTGAACCGCATTCAACACCCACTAACGCTATCAAATACATTTCTTTGAATTCTTTACCTCATTAGTGATGGATCCCAAACCACAACCCGAAGTACTTGGGTGCATTTCACGATCATGACATCAATGAAAGTGTTTAAATTCACCGCTTAATTGGGCCAAAGTGTTCTA